GGTGGTGTTTTCTATTACACACCAAAGGTCTCAATTGGCTAGAGGTGGCCCTGTTGCTCAATCTGTAACATGGTTTTATTGACACTGACATTACATAAATAAGACTTACTGCATTCGTCTAGATTCATTTGAGGGGGATGATGTCACTGAACTACTTTCCAACTACTCAAGACGTAGCTCTAGTTTGGAACGCTAATGGAATATATTATTGAACAACTTTAAATCCTATAATTTCAAATCCAGAAAGAAATACCATCAAAACTTAAATCAGGGTGTCTGGATGGTTCAGTGGGTTGAACCTCTGACTTGCTCAGGTCATGATGTCAGGGTCCTGGGATCCAGCCGTACATTGGGCTCCCTTCTCAGCGGGAAATCTGTTTCTCCCTCTCCCCCTGCCCCTCCCCACGTTATGCGAGCACCAGCTCTCTCTCTCTCTCTCTCTGTCAGATAAACAAATAAAATCTTTAAAAACAAAACAACTTAAACAAGAAGAAGGCAAGTGTAAATGCAGTCTACTGTGAAGGAATGTACCTTTAAGCTGCCCACGCCTTTAATGTCCAACACGACCAAACCCCACAGAGAACAGGGTACTAACCAAGCTTAATACTTCCAGGTGTTATTCAGTACGAAAGAAATTTATAGGCTTAAACTTGGAAATAAACTTATTTTTTAAAGGAAACACATAACAGAGCTAAGCCAGTCAGGGAAAAGTAAAGATCCTATCAAGCGTCAATTACAACTCTGGCTTTAAGCAAAAATAAAGAAATCAAAAGATGAGGCTGAGCATGCTTTTCTCTAGACATGTATTGTGATAGTCTCTTATAAAAAGAAAGAAACAACAACAACCAAAGTCAACCCTTTAAATATACATTTTATTTTTTCAATAGAAAGCTTGTCAGATAACTCTAAAAAAATTGGAATGGTTTCTCATTTCTACTGTAATGAAAAATAAAACCTAAAATCACAGGCATTTGTGTTAACTTGGAATTTGCATAAACAAGTAATGCCTGTTTTATTGTAATACGAAAAAAACACTAACAATGTAACTTAAGAATGCACTGAACGCAATAAGCCCTTCACTGAAAAATCGGAGAATATCACATGCTGTGAATGCTAAAATAATTAGAAATACACACATAGAAAACAGTTGGCTGAGTCAGGCACTACCAACTTGCACTGTTGTTCTCAGGCTAAATGTCAACGCCCATGTTCAAGAAACTGCTATCGTGCAACATAACCTTTGGAATTTCATGGTATTGGTCAAACATATAAAGCTGAAGCAAAATACCAACACCATATCTGCTTTGTGATAAGAGGAGAGGGCAAAATACCTGCAACTTTATGAATAAATTCTACCACCCTAAATAAATAAGTCGAATGAAACAACAGCAACAACATAGAAAGGTTCTTTTCTACACCATGTTACATCCCATCATCACAGAACTCATCCTTTTCCCTAATCTTTCATTTGATTCTGCTGTTTCAAAACTTCCAAAATTTAATCTTTCTTAATCCTTCCTCTTTAAAATTCAAAATCTAATCATTTCATATTTTTTAGGATCATTATAACTAAAATAACAAGGTGGAAAGAAGTCAGGGAACAAGGTAATAATCAGCAAGCTGCTACTCTCCGGAGGCCTCTGAATGTGTTTATTTGGAATACGTGTATTCAGAAAAAAAAAAATCTACCACAATAACAATATATTATTCATGCAACTATATCGAACATAGAATGTTAACTAACATTTTGATGATCAGAAGGCAAAAGAGACCCAAATATTTAGAAGCAATGAAAATATTCTATGTCAGTAGTCAAGGGACATTCTAGCCTCCATGTTGCCCAGACTCTAGTTACACTGCAATCAGCAGTATTGCCGAGTAAAAGGACCCACTCTCTATGCAACATAATTTGGGTGGGTATGGAGGCCTCAGATCTGAGAAATTATGTCTGGCTTATTTTGCCTGAGGGTTTATTTTAATAAATAAATAAAATAAAATAATAAATAAGTAATAATAACTTATTATTATTATTTAACTACACTTAGGCTCATAAAGCTACTGGGTTTCTCTTTTTTCCCCACCTACCTCTTTCTTTTTTTTTTCTCACCATAGCTCCACCTACTTCTTTTTTTTTTTTCCTCACCATAGCTCCACCTACTTCTTTCTAAGAATGTACACTGGCCTACGGACAGCCAAACTACTAAAGGCTGACTGACCCCCAATACACTTCCAGCAAAATGATAAGAGCGGCATAATTGATATATTTGAGTGTCTGCCAGTAATGTGTGCTGAAACTGTACACAAGTCTGTGTTCAAAAATAATATTCTTAATGATTATGCTGTATTGCTTTTCTTACATTATACAAATGCTGAAGAATGTAAATTTCTAGAGATAATGTAAAAAATTCATCTATCATATTATAGACCACATGCTAAAAGGCAGTATCAGTTAAGAGGGAAGAATCTGAAACTATGATTCTGGGTTCAAGTGTCATCTCCAAAATGTACTCGCTGAACAACTGTGGGCAAGTCATCTAAATTCTCTGGGCCTTCTTTCCCTCACTTGAAAAATGGGAATACTCGTACATACATTAAAGGATTTCTATGCGGATCAAATGACACGGTATATATAAAATACAGAGCATAATGTGTAGAATTCAGAAAAGTGAATGTCAACTAATGTAATTGTCATTAGGGTCATTCGGCTGGCCCTACATTCATAAGATGATTTATACACGCATACATACACACAAAACATATATTTATGAATAGAGAACACATACATATGTATGTACACGTATGTGTATATATATACACTTACAAAGAATTCTACATGGTCGTAGCCATTCAACTACCCAAAAGAAAAGAAAGCTGCAGAATTGCTGAGGCTGCTACAATTTAAAATGCCTCATGTTCAGTCAATTTTTGAAATGCTGTCTTAAGAAACTCAGCAATTACAGGGAATCTAGGCAAAATTCTGCAAGAGCAGCTTTTTTTCTAATGAATTTCCAATACGAATTTGATTATTAATCAAACATTAGCATATCTGCTACATATTATGCCATCTTCCCACAGTAGCTAATTTGCTATTTGGTTATACAATATGAAGTTTTAAGAAATTACTAAACAGCTCTTCCGGGACATTAAGAAGCTTATAGGACAGGTTTCTTAAAAAGAGGCTTAGATCCTAAGCAAGCAAGTGGCACTTTCCATGAACACATGCTGTGCAACAACACAAAAATACTAACTCAAAGTTGTGAAATAAGTTAATCATTATAAAAAATGTTCAAATGATATAAAACCAAAATGGAGAAAGTAAAAAATAGTGAGACATGACAAGACATAGATCTGAATTTTTATCTTTATGCCTGTTTACATACAGGAATATTTCATGGTGTAGACATTTTCTAAATCACTGCCCTTCAGAAGTATGACTTTCATTTATGACTGCATCTATGTTTTTTAAATGCTACAAGTACCGGTATCCAGCTTTGTATCCTTCGTTCTCTCCTGGGTAGTATTTTATTATCCGCATTCCATTTGCCACCTGAATAAGCCTTTTCCTGGACTTCCCTACTGCCATCCATCCTTTATTTCATCACTTAAAAAGGGATCTCAGCACTGAATTCAATTTTGTTCTTTGGTCTAAAACATCATACAAGATATAAATGGCAAGCTCATCAAAGATTATTTGATGTAACACTAATTACTTTATACATAATACCAATGAAAGGAAATACTGCAATTTCAATAATTAATACAGAATAGAAAAGTAATGTAATTCAGTACAAAAAGGTTGAGTTTCTTTCCTAAGTTTCCTTGTTTGAAGTAGAGGAGAAGGTAGGGGCTGTCTAGGAAACTGGATAGGATATTAAGAAGCTTTAGGTTACTGAGACTTAAAAAAAATCATTTTTTTAAAAACATTTCTCCTCTTCCTTGTTATAAATATATCATGAGAATGGTACTTCTATTCCTAGACTTGGTCAGGGTCTGCAGGAGATGTGAGGGAGGGGGGCTGTCATAGAAAGAGCAAAATAAATATGGGAGAGGAAGGCAGTTAAACAAGGGAAAATCATGAATTTTCACATGAACGGTCACATACATAAGCTTTCCACTTATGGAGCACATTACCATCACGCAGTGTCCCCATCTAAGCACAGCATCGTCTCCTCTTCTTCCACGCCCAGTTCGGAATGTGCTGGTGTGGCAGCAATAGCTACCATCTACTAAGTGGCTGTTAGGGGTCGGGGTCGCTTATTCTGCCATGTGCTTTCGACATCTCACCTCACAGACTTCTCTCGGATTGTTCCCATGTGAAAGGTGCTATTATTTCCCACATTCTCTAGACAGGAAATTCAAGATTCAGAGGAGAGAAGTGTCTTGCCCAGAGTTGCAGGAATTCAAACCGGGGTGTTTCAGAACCTAGAAGCCAACCTTGCAACCATTCCCTCCCATCACCACCTTGGCGCAAGGACACAGAGATCAAGAACACGTAGGTAGTATCAAGATGATATTGCACGATTAACCTCCATTCAGCACCAAACGCTCACTGGTAGACATTCTTGATAAAAGTAAGCCACAACTACTCTTTTTCCTAGTCATAACTTGATGCGTCTCAGTCACACGGAAGAAATTATGTGTTTATTTTTTATATCAACTATTAGTTAAGCATGAGACCCCAGAGACAGTATTTTCAAGATATGCAATGCATTTACAAACCCAAAATGTTTACCATAAACCTCACACAAGAAAATTGTAATATTAAAGTTTTCATGGCTCCAAGAACATTTTCCCTCTTCTATTTTACATTAAAGTTCTCAGCCAGGCCTCTCCTAGTTTTTCGCCTGGAGTAAAATTAGTGTATGAATATAATGCAAGTAGTTGAATTCAGGACATCTCTGTTGCTCTCTGGCTGCTATGTTCCTGCAGATTTTACCTTCTCCACCTCACACCCATTACTTTTAGGAGGTCGAACAAAGAACGAACGGCAGCTCTCTTACCTGTTTCAGAGCCTTTTTGGTGTGTTGCTGAAAGGAAGACGCTAACTTGCTTTGCACCGCTGTGTTCGTGAGGCTTGAATCTCGAGTGGAAGACGCTTCATCGTTTACCTGCTTCGCACAAACTAGAAACAGAGAGAGATAATGATATTACTAATTTGAATTCCTTTTTTTATATCCACTGTAATTAACTCACTTGGAGCTTCTCTCCAATTGAAAATGGATACCTAAAATAAAGCCAAATACCACAGTGACAAGAAGAATATCTAGATTTGAGAGAATGGATCACTTAATAACTGGGTGGTCACAGTTACACGTAACCTCTCTATACCCCGTGTCCTTACCCACTAATTGATGTTAATTCCTATCCCACAGGGCTATTGTGCAGACGTAAAAATGAGCATAATATCTGCCTGAAGACTTGGGAGTCAGTAGATACTTTCCAAATCTGAATATGCAGATTGAGCAATGCACAGTCTTTTGAAGAAACAATGTAAATTCATGAAACTGTGTTTCAAATCTACCAACGGCCCTGGTGTTCTTCCATTTAACAGCCCTCCTTCTATAGACTTCCTGGCCTACTGGGACATGTTTGTCTTATCCTATGGGCCAAGTCATCTATCACGGAGAAGGAAAAATAAAAGCCAAGATGTTGGGGGTCAATTTAAGGCAAGTATTTTCAAGAACATCATGCTTTCTGCAGAGAATCATATAATCTGCCCACTTTTACCAGAATCAAACTTTCCTGTTGCCTATTCTACAGAGGACATTTTCTTCAAAAAGCTGTTTTTTAGACGAACCAATGTCTCACTGACATGGGTGACAAGGGCCCACATTCACCTGTGGCTCTGTGGAACCTGGGTTATGGCCAGCACTCATCTTTAGCCCTCAAACTGTCCACCAGAGAGAAGAGGCTGGACTCTGGCCACAGAGAGATGCAGGCCCTCTTCTGTGCACACCAGAGGGGAAGGTGTTATTTGGAAAATCAAAGTCAGGAAGTGCTGTGATTGGGGGCAGAATGGAGGCAGATGTCAAAGGCAGGAGGCAAGCGGAAGTTAGATGGAAAAAAATAACTTGAGAACATATTGGAAAAGCTCAAAATATGACTTTTTAAGGGCACCAGGGTTAACGCTAATCCAAGAAAATTTTTGAAGGAACAGTCACTTGAGAAGATTCTGACCTGAGCTTTAGAGGCAGGTGGAGGAGTAAAAATTATTCTAGTCAAAAATGGAAGCATATGCACGTGCACAGTGTTGAGAACACTCAAGCTGCTTTAGATAGACTCAAGCACATGTTGCCTAGAAATAAAAATGTGGCTCATGAAGGAGAATTTTGGGGGAAAAGAGTCAAGTTTTGTTTTAAGACAGAAAGTAATCAAGTTACTGAGGACCAAACAAAAGGAACAAGTTTCGGACAGTAATTGTTAGTTATTAATGCCAAGCGCTTTACATATGTGATTTCATTTCATCCCTGCCGCATCGTTGCTGCTTCCTTGCAAGACATTAAGGTACTGTCTCTGTTTTGGAGAGAGGAAACTAGAGCTCAGAAAGGCGCAACAGCTTGCCAACGGTAACAAAGTCAACAAAATAGCAGAGCTGGGAGTCAGGGCCAGACCCATAATTTCGCACTTAAAATATTTGTCCTCAAATCCCAGAACTGATGCAGAAAATTCAGTGTCTAAAGAAGTTCAATTTGGTTGCATCCCGAAGGTACTGAAACAGTAAGTTGATAAGGACAGGAAGATCAAGTCATTTAACCACAGACATGAAAAAATTAAGAACTATCGGTGACAGTGATTGGCTCAGGAAATACTTCAGTTGAAGAAGCCAAAGGATTTGCCCATGGACAGACTCAGAGAAGTCCCTGAATTAATGATCAGGTGACTTGCTTCTATTTGATACCATATGATACTTTTCCTTAAAACAGTCTAAACGTTGTAGTTAAGAAATTGTCACACTGCTCCCACGGACTATGGCTCCTAGGCTTTTCTCCTTGCAATGATCACTACAGTAAATTATAATACTCTGCCAAGTCTTACTCATCAAGAAATATCAGAAATTAACTATTGGTTTATAGTTCAAAGATAAATTTACTTTTATGTGATTACATCGATGGTCTTTTTAATGTTCTGAAGTCTCTATGAAGTGAGACAAACTAAGGAACTGAGAGGAAGGTCACAGCGGGGACAACTGATTCCAGTTGGATGGACCTATATGTGACAACAGAAGCCCAGACAGAAGCAAAGTTATTTTATTACTTCACATTCTTAGAGTAGTATTTCTACCTTGACTGTGGAAACTTACTGATTAGTTAAAAAGGAGAGCCAAATGCCACCCCTGGATTTTAGGGAACCTAGGGAAAATAGCAGAATAGTTCTGCATACTGGACATCCAAACAGATTTACCGATTTGCTTAGGAAGTGCTTTTATTCATAAGTCTTGCAAAGGTAAACTCCAGTGAAGCAGGATCCAAAAACAACAGATGCTGAATTAGTCTGTACATAATGAAAGCTCATCCCCCCTGCACTCATCTGACTGAGACAGTAAATGGTACAGTCAGCCCTCCTTCCAGAGCACAAGAGATATCTTAGAACTTGCTTTACTTCCCTCTGATTTAGGAAGCCACATGGCATCACGATACCTGTTTAACTATCAGAGGATATAATGCATACTTCATTTAAATTCACCATTCCACCAAGTTAATAGTGATTCACATGCATTTAGTCTTTCCAAAAGGAAGATTTGGTTCCATTTGGAGCCCAGAACTTCAGGTGGAGGGAAGGACAATAAAATCAAACAGCATCAAGCAGTCCTATGAAGTTTTCTTCTGAAGATGATTCATTTTTCTTTAACTTAAATCTCTATTTTGCTATATCTTACATTCCATCCAATGCTCAAATGAAGCATCATGGGAATTCCTTCCTCCATAGTCAATTGCCTTCCTGATTCCCTCTTTGGAGCTTGGTCCTGTTTCCCTGGATCAAACCATTTTTCCCACATTCTTTCTTTCTTTTTTTTTTTTTTTAAGATTTTATTTATTTGACAGAGATCATAAGCAGGCAGAGAGGCAGGCAGAGAGAGAGGGGGAAGCAGGCTCCCCACTTAGCAGAGAGCCCGATGGGGGGCTCGATCCCAGGACTCTGAGATCATGACCTGAGCCGAAGGGAGAGGCTTAACCCACTGAGCCACCCAGGCGCCCCCCGAATTATTTATTTCTGATCAAATATTTATGCAACTTTTAAAAAAAGTAAATGTAATAGAAAATGAATAAATGAGTGTTCCTTTGGGTTAAAAAAAAAAACACAAATACCTTATTTTTAAGGAAAAAGTCAAGAGATAAATGCACAGTGCAATCCATAGGCTCCAAACAGTGCACCTGCGTGTGTGCCGTGTACATGCACATGGTGTGTGTGTGTGTGTGTGTGTGTGTACTGACAAAAATGGACCCTTAACACGGGTGTATGAGTGATTTTTTTCATTCTTTTGCCATGTATACGACGAGGGCGGCTAAACAGAAAAACACCAAGTAGCTGGACTGTGGGAGGTTCATGCAGCTTCATATTCCGACAAAACACACGGTTTTCACTTTCACTTCGTTCTTGCAGCTTTCTTAATAACAGATGTGATAAATAAATAATGCAGAGCTCATTTTAAACACTTTCCTGAATATTTACAGAAGGGACTGGGTTTGGCCTCTGAAATACAAGCCAAAGAAAAATCAATGTTAAGGAAAGGACCAAGGGAAATCCCCCGTATGTAAAATTACAACAGAAACCAGGAAACTGAAGAATTAGGACAGATGTTTTATCCAATAAATATCAAACACTGACAGGCAGCTTAGAAAGTGATATCTTTTTGGCGTTCAAACAAGAATGGGTTGGTTTTTGTTTTTTTTTTCTAACTTCACTGGCATGATCACAGAAACGAATGCCAGGATTTATACCTCAAAACCCCACAAGACTGCCTGCCCTTTCTGTAGGTGGACAAAATGAAGACAAGGAAAGGGTGTTTTGGTTTTTTTTTTTTTCAAGGTACAGAAATGTTATTTCTGCCTACATTTTGCTTGGCTGCCAAAACTAGGCAAAGTCAAAGACATAGTTAAAGGCTAATCTGCTTGTTTTAAATTCAAACAGGTAATGAGATTCTTAGTATTTGCTGCTCAACTACCTCCACTCTCACTCATACTCAGACTCCCAAACCTCCCATCCCAAATATTCTATTTGGAAGCCTCAGGAGCAAAGAGAGATGGAAGATTCCTCGTCATCATGAGACAGTCCTGAAGGCTAGAGAAACTGGTGACTGCCCAGCAAGACTGGATTTCTGCCCGGCAAGACTGGATTTCTGACTCACAGAGTCTCCATGTTGTCCTCCTCTTTCCCCTCGTTCACTTATCCTTCAGCTTCAAAAATGAGATCAAACTAGAAAATATGGGTTAGAGCTCATATTTTTTAAAGCTGAATGACAGAAGCTTTGGGCACTACTCCCCCCAGTGTAATTACTAATCCACTGACAAGTGTACAAGAGGGCTTTGACCTTTAAACCAAGACACAAAGAAGGGAGAAATTAGAACGCAACCTTGACTTTGTCTCTCTCTCATCTTAAGTCTTGTCTGCCTCCTCAACTCCCATCCTCTCTGATCCAACCAACCAAGAACCTGCTGTATTTCCTGAACACAGTGACTTGCTGTATTTATTGTACTTGCTCCAACTGTCCCTCATCCAAATACCCTTCTCCATTTCTTTGCCTGGAGAATTCATCTTGGCATAGCAACCTGGAACAGCTTCCCCCAAAGCCTTCCTGACTATGCCCATCTCTGAGGTAGACTCACTCCTCCCCTTGTCTTGTTTCTTTGGAACCTAGTGTATGTATTCAGGGCACTCTCTGCAAACGATGCTTCTCTGCCTCACCACCCACAAGTCCAGCCACTCAGGGACTTACACATTGTTGCAAAGATAGGTGCAGAGCAGTTGATCTATAAATGTTTATTAGGCAAAACTGTCAAATTTGATTTTAATGAAATTTATCTAAAGTGTCTATTTTTAATGTCAACATTCAATTACTGGTTTTTAGTTAAGAATTCATGGAAGGGGAAGTCAGCAAAACAGAGTTCAGTTATTATGGAAAAG